GTAATTAATGGGTGTAAGAAATGACTTATTTTTAATGAGTATGTATACTAATTAAGTTAATTAATACTGCATACTGTTTTTGAGTTACCTGCAAAATACTTAAGAACTTGATGCTTATTTATACAGTGTGAAATGCCTTGAAATTTCTAATATGTTCAAAGGTAGTTTTCAAAATACAGCCTAACTTGGCTGCCACAGAATCTTGAAATGCATTTTTATATTCAATATTTTATCTTAGATGTATGTCAGAATTATCCAAAGTGCTACATTTGTAGCTTTTATAGGTGAAGGTAACCACCTTATATACAGATACTAAGCAAATTCAATACATATATTTTTCCAGTTGTTTTAGTTAATACACTAATTAACTAATATTCTACTGATAGTGCAACATGTACTTGTTGATCTAGAGATTGCTAGGTTTATTTTTGCAGAAAAATTTGAATGTTTTAACTAGAAGATTAGAAGAATAAAAATACGTATTTTAGAACAATCAAATTCCAAAACAGGTTGTGCCCATTTAAAAAGAAAAGTGTACACAGAGGCATGTTTAAATAAAAGTCATGTGGTGTTAAATACTATGTAAATTGCTTTTATTCAAATCTAAATTATATATAATATGGCTTCATGGGTTATATTTACATTGGTAGAGGCACAATATGACTTCAAATATGTTTGGAAAAACATATACCACTTTCAGTGATGTCTTGCTATTTAATTCTGATAGCATTGCAATTTTAGAAAAATGATTTTTCACTGTTTGTTAACTTGTAAATATTTCTGCTAGCTTCATATTCTGGAAGGCTTAGTTATTTTTGGTAGGAGAAATTATGTCTTACCCGATGTCGTATAAAGTTGTAACAGCACAGTGTGACTTCTAACATAATTCTGGCCTTGTGCTATCAATATTTTTAAGCTAATATTTTATTAACTGTACTCCTTTTTTCTTCCAGCTGACAGCACGATCACTTCCTTCCATACAATCTGATGAGAGACTCCAACCTCTGCTTAATCACCTCAGGTAGTATAAAATGAAAGCATATTACCTCATACAGATTAAAGTAATTGTTGTGGTAGAATGCCTTAGGTACAGGTTTTTTGCAGACCTCATCTGTATGATTTGCTTTGAAAAAAAACCCAAAAGTTATTCTTCAACTTAACAAAAGCTTTATGAATGACATGGAACATAATATATAGAACTAGTGTTACTTCTGAGTAACAAAAAAATAGTTGTAGCTTTTATAAAGTGGTGTTTTTTTATAGCAACTGCAAAGTTGTTAAGCTCCTTTACAAACAAAACAGATTCCAAACTGCAGTGCTCAGAGCATGTGCTTTCCTTCTTGCAATTATTCTATGCTCTCTGCTCTTTTGGGAAGATTTTGCTGTCATTGATGAATGGAGTACTAATTTGTTCTTTTACTAGACCTATGTAGATTACTGAAAATTGAACCATTATAGTAAATAGTTTGCCTCCCTCTTAGTTGTGTGTGTGTATAGATATATATCCGTATGTAAGTTTTCTACTTTATTTGTAGAAGAGGATAAGCAGAGAACTCTGGTCTCTTGTATTAATGATTGCTTTTTGCCACTTTATATGGGAGGCTTTACTTCTTACTTTGGCCATATGCAGGAGGACAAAGTCCATACAATTAGAGCGAGCTGGTTTAGAATCATGGGATAATTTAGCTTGAAGTGAACTTCTGGTGATTTAATCTAGCATGTGCTCAATGCAGATCTGGTTAGATCAGGTTGCTCAGGTGTTTGTTTTTGTAGAATTTTTAATGTCTCTAAGGATAGAAATTTACTTCAATACTGGATGTCAGCAATGAAAGCTGTTTTTTTGAACACATGCATCTTAGCATTAAGATCACTGAAATGATGTTGGCTGAATTAGAAATGGAAGTGTTGAGGTTCCATCATAGCAGCACTGCATGGGGAATTGAGATGCAGATCTGGTTTGCTGGATCATGCTTCTTATTTTCTACTCTTGTGCTCTACTGCTTGAGCTATCTGTTTCCAAAACCTGGCATTTTGTTTTGATTTTAAAAAATCTCATTATTTTTATTATATAGAAAGAGTTTTATGTTTTGTTTTCAGTTTAAATCAGAATAAGAAAAACAGCTTTCATTGTACTTGTGCTTATTTACATATGATTGAACTTTGTTCAAGAACAATGAATGAAATGAATGAGAACAAGGATTGCAGTGTTATTGTTACTGTTACATAGCTGGGGGTACTTCTGAATGCCAATAACCTTCTGTGATTTTATTACCCTGCATCTTACTGGGATTGTAAAAAATGCACCTCAGTGGCATACCTTTCTCAATTTGAAGATCAAGAGCAATTAAGTTAGCTTTTTATGAATTGTGCTCTCTAGGAGTAATTACTGAGAAACTGAAAATTTCTTTTGATGTGCGCTCTGTTCTGTGTAAGCGGAACAGTACTTCAGTATCACAATCAGTCCTGTCTGTGCATTTTTTTTTTTTAAATAAGGAGAAGGGAAAGGTTCCAAAATAAGTTACTTTAACAGGGAGACTACAACCCATATTTATGCCAGCTGGTATTTTTGTACTTTCTTATGTTATCTTGGATATGTATGTTATACAGCTGGGAAATCAGGAAATCACTTCCATTTTGCTTTTGGTGAAAATGGAGGGACAGTTTCCAGTTTATTTTGTCACCAACCAAAACAATGATATAAATGCTTCCAAGTTGCCTGTTTGGAAGTTCCTTTAAAATGAACAAAATATATCAGACCTTGTGACTTGAAAGGCAACCTCTGGCAGTGAATAGGCAGGTGACCAAATAGATCATCTTGGTTATTTATTTCTGTGAATCTGTGATTTATTTTGCTTCATCTTGCTCATGAGAAAGGAGAATATTAGCTAGTTGTAGACTTTCTTACCTTCATTATCTGAATTCGTAGAGCAGTATTTTTTTTTTTTTTGGCATACATCAGTAGACCTCTGTGAGGGAAGCAAAAGCTTAGAAATGAATGAAAAGAGCATACAATTGTAGGTTACAGAGCATTGTTTAGTTTTTAATGCCCCACACATGCTTTGCCACCTATTCAAATCTGCTTGTGACTTAGAAATTATCTAGTCCTCAAAAAAGGTTATTGTACTTTGGATTATGCCTTCATAGATATTTTAACCCATGGTCATTATTTTTTAAAAAGGAAATAACATGTATTTTGTAATTGGATTGTTCAGAACTAGGTATGTATTTTGTCTGTGATTTAGTTCTGTTTTTATCCTGTTCTGTTTCATTGGCACTTTTTAGTACTATTTGTACTAGACCAAAAAAAAAAGAGAACATTTTTAGTTAAAATGTTAAAGTATTTGGTGCAAGATTGTGTTTAGGGATTTCATATGCTCACAGTAGGCTACAAAGAGATTGAACTTGCTGAAACATTAACAGCTTAATAGAGATGGAACCTTAATACCTAAATGTGTGAGAAGAACACTTTTTCAACTCCCGCTTTGTATGAGGCGTACAGGCTTGTAACTCTACTGTTTAAAATATTCATCAGGAGTAATTTAAAATGGACAAAACCCCTTGTATGTAATCCCATCACACTACTATAGAATTGGGCCTATAAATGAGTTGTAGGGAGAAGCTGAGTTGTCTTAGTGTAGTCCAGTGAAAAAATAAGCTTAGGGAAGATCAAATAGCAGCCTACAAGTGTTTTAGAGGACAAACATTGTAGTATTGGAATTTTCAATGGTAGCAGAGGATTTAACAAATTACAGTGATCACACTTAGCAGCTTGGGAGGTTTAGATCAAACATTAAGAAAAATGTCTATGCTAGAATGGTAGTGCAGCAAATTGTCCAGATGTAGATAGTCTGAGTTCATTGAAATTTTTAGGATTCAGCTAGAAAAGCCGATGGTTTACCTGACTAATGTTGGCAGTAATCCCATTTTAAGTGGGGTGTGGTACTAAATGGTCTTCTAACATCCTTTGCAAACAACATTTTAATGGTTTTGTTAATTCTGTCTTCAAATGATAGTTTGTAAGGGTGATAGAGAAACCAAGTGCTTTGCAAGACTGGATTTTTAAAAATGGATAACAAAGTACTCATGCAGACATATTCACCCTCCTTCTCACTTATGTTCATCTCACTAGCAGGTAAAGAAGAAGACACAGCTTGAGATACTACAATCATTCACTATTCTCAACATCTACAAAGTGCCCTTCATATCCTTACTAAATCCTGTGATGCACTAACACATCTGTGACTAGCAAAACATTTATCAGAACTGTCCTACAGCTGTTTATTTGAAAGTCATAGGTCTCATTCTTGGAAACATTGATGCAGTGGAGATTTTTTTCTTGATCAGCAGCTGTGTGAATGTATGAACTGATCAATGGTTACAAGATGTGTTTAGAAAACATCTAGAAAAAAATCTTAGTAACTAAGATTTTGGGTTTTAGAAAAAACAGTTTCTAAGTGATTGAGTCAGGCTGAATGGAGAGAGGAATTTATATATGGAGGTAAAATAAAACTTTTTAAAGTGGAAAGTGAAGACATTGCTGCTTGCATTCCAGTAAATCACAAAAATACATTATGAAGAACTGCAGATATTTCTAGGTAAGAACAAAGCTTGGTCAGGAAGTAATCTCAATAGCTCTGTCACATAGAAGAAAGCATGAGTTCGTATAAGAACTGAAACTGAAAGCAAAAAATATGGAAAGAAAGTGAGAATGATCAAAAACCTGATTAGTTTGTGTTGTAATGTGTTTTTGACCTGGCATCATTTTTGAAGGTAGCTTGTAGGTGTCAGGTATCAAGAAAATTGGACCTTGTGAAATGTCATACACTGTTTTTTAATGTAACAAATTAATAACTTCTCCTGTTTGCTTACCGTGATAAGAATATTCGACCTTTTCAGAATCTGAAAAGTAGAATTATTCTTTTCCCTCCTGGCCCCTCTTAGCTTTGAGTTTTCTGTTCTCACAGTAGATTTTCCTACCAAGTCCAGATACAATGGTCAGCAAGATTCAGAGAGCATGTCCTATTTTTAACAGTAACTTCTGAAGGCTCTCCTTATTCACTTGCAGGAAAACTTCTGTGTCTTCTCTTTGGACCTTTTCTCTCCAGGCCAGTCCTTTCTATGGATTCAAGGAAAAAGCAGTTTTCTTTACCTTACCAATTTTTTTCAGTATTGGTATGATTCTGATAAATACTGTAGGGTACAAATGGATGACCTAAAGTGATTGTGGTAGAGCAGCTTAAGAAGTTACCGACACTCATTCTGTGATCACTTCCTGCATGGTTTCCCAAACTGTTTTTTTACAAACAAAGCAAATCAAACAGAACCCACCAAAAAATGAAGTTGCCTAAGAAACATGTGCTTCAGTTGCAATATTTTCGTGAGTGTAATTTCTGTTTTGTTCATAGTTTACTTAAAGTGATGCAGGTCTGTTTCTACAAGGGAATTTAGATGCTTCTGTAGTAGAATTAGTGATAATAGACACACACGGTTTAAATACTTTAAATTATTTATACCTTTTGTGTAATGGAAAGAAAATCTATTAAGTACGGTAAGTTTGTCTAATGTTCCAGTGCATCCCAGAAATAAGACTAAGGAACAAATAAATGCACATATAATTAAACACTGTTTATACTGTAATAAAATCAACTGTTAGTTATATGCTTTTTATATTTCACAGTATTGAAGTGCCACAGAATAATGTGTAGCACTTGGTATTGTCATTTAGCAAAATGCCTTTTTTCCTGGAGTTAAATTCTGCATGCATTCAAAGACTTAAGATATGGGCCTTGTAAGTTACTTACAAAACCCTTCTTGCACAAAGAAATTTCTTCTTACTCAGACTTTGCAACCTGCTTTTTGGACCAGTAATCAAAAAAGTCCCTGTTTACTTTATTTCCTGTAATACTGCCAGGTTTTGAGTTCAGTCGGGTTCTGGGTTCTGCTGTAAGAATTTCCCTGGGTATGTTCTGCAGCCCTGCAAATATTTGCATTGAAAAAGTATCTAAAAGCAAAAGCTGGGCATTAAATGCTTGTGTTTGATTTGAAATTACTTGGCTGACAATGTCTGTGTGACTGTCTCTGCTGTGGTGTACAGTTACCCTGAACTTAGCTCAGTTTTCAAAAGCTATGTACTCATACTGTATGCAGTATGAGTGAAAGATGAGACAGCACATGTAAATAAATTCCTGTGCTATTTTGGTTAGGACTTAAACTGTGTTGATCTGTCAGAAATGCAGGAAAAGCCATCCCAGATTTACTGTTACTCTTCAATTTTTGTTTTTTATCTTTTTCCCCCAGTAGGAATCCACAGTGATACATCAGGGGGGTTTAAAATTTGTTTTTGTGGTACACAAATGGCAAAGTAGAAAGATTTTTTTTTTTACTGGAAGAAAGCAAAAAGTGACCCTGGCTTCACAAAGAGTAAGAAGAACCCTCATCTCAGTTGCAGATATAGAAAGAAAGTAACCATGAGTGGTCAGTGTAGAAGTGTGAATGGTAAATTTATTCTTGACTAGCCTCATAGGTGGTCATTTTTTCATGGAAGACTCAATAGATGGGTTGGGGGAATCGGTGTATGTTCTTTGTCTTGACTTTAGCAAGGTTTTTGATACTTGTAACACCCTCATTGACAACTGATGAAGCATGGGCTAAGTAGACGGACAGTGAGCTGGACTAAAAACAAATGCACTGTTCAAAGGTTTGTGATACAGGACATTACGACCAGCTGGAGGCCAATCCCTAGTGGAGTACCTAGGGCCCTTATCTTCTTTAGCTTCTGCTTTATTGCCTTGGGTGATGGAGTTGAGTGTGTACTCAGCAAGTCTCACATGATATAAGACTGGGGAGAATGTTTTGCACCAGATGGATGCTCTGCCTTTCAGATGGACTTGGGCAGGAGGGAGAAATGGGCTGCCAGGAGCCCTGTGAAGTTCAACAAAGGGGAATAGCAAAGCTTGCAGTTGGGAAGGATTAGCCCATGTGTCAGTATAAGTTGAGGGTTGAATGACTATGAATGCAGAGGACCTTGGGGTGTCTGTGCACCACCAGGGTACCTGTGAAGCAAAGAAAGCAAACAGTCCTCTTGCATGGCATTAGGAAGGACACTTGCAGCAGGTCAGAGGAGATGATCCTTCTGCTCTACTCAGGATTGGTGATACAATGTCTGCAGGGCTGTGTCCAGTGCAGGGCTCCTCAGTATGTACGAGAAGAGACTCAGAGAACTGAGGTTGTTTGGCCTGGAGCAGATAAATTTCAGGAAGTGTGTGTGTGTGTGTGTGTGCATTTTATCAGTGCATGTAAATAGGTGTCTGGTAAGGAGTAAAGAAAGAGTGAGAGTCTTCTCAGTGGTATCCAGTGATTGGCAATGGGCAGAAACTGATACAGGAAATTCTGCCTAAACATAAGAAAACACTTTTTGATTGGCTGGATGGGAGAACACTGGAACAGGTTGCTCAGAAGGTTATGAGTCTCTGTCCTTGGATATGCTCAAAACCCAGCTTTATGAGATCCTAAGCAACCTGCTGTAGCAAACACCATTTTGGGCAGGGGTTAGATTAGATGATCTTCAGTGGTCTCTCTGATCTAAATCTGTATGATCCCTCACCTCTTCTTTCAGATATAAGGGAAAGAGGGTTTCTTTGCCACGTTTGCTCTAATGTTGGCTTTAAGAGTCCTCATTACTTGGTTTCTTGTTTTTGCCTGATATGAAATATTTGCAGCCCATAATTGATAAATTATTTTCCTTCTAAATTTGTAAGCTTAAAAATATTTTGGAACTGCTTTAAATGATGCCATACTATTTGCTTTCTTTTTCAGCCATTCTTATGTTGGCCCAGATTACAGCATCCAAAAGAACACTGGAAAAATTTCTCTGGAGCAAATTGATTCTGTAAGTTGTATTTCTGGAGTTATATAGGATGTTGAAGTGTAACTTTTTTAATGCAAGTACTCTATATACAAACTAAATATATGGTCTTTATCTTCTTTTCGTTCATCTTTGTAACTGTTGAATGAAATTGTGTAGAAGGTCAAAACAAAGCAGAATTAGCTGAAAATGCATCTAATCAGGATTCAGATTCAGAGTGAAGTTGCAGTGAAATGCTTAATTTGCTGTTCAATTTTGTGTGCTTGCACAAATGCCTAACATAATTATAAGTAGAATTTAACAAAATTTTCTTAACAAACTTGCAAACCGTGTTGTTTAGTTTATGATTACTGTGTTGCAGTATAGTCTTTTTCACTGCTTCTTTTTGATTTTTGACTTACAGGAGGGGTTTTGAAGACAAGGAAGTAAATAAAATGAAAGTAAAACATGTGATGTGAAATACTGTGCATAAATTTTGCAGAGTTGCTTAAGAACATTATAACTCCTTTATCTAAATTTTAGGAATCATATGTTTTCAGTGTCCATCTTAATCATGATAAGTGTTTCTCCAGCAGTGAGTTAAAATCCTCTCCCCTTCCCTAACCTCCCAAAACTTTATCAAAGGTAATTTTGCCATTCCAGATGCTAAAATAAAGCAGAGTCAAGAAATATTGTAATGCAAATGTGCAAATATTTTTCCTGACAGCAGTTAAACCTGTGTTACTTCAGAGCTGGAGACAGTCTGATACTACCACCTGTATAACTGTGTCCTTGGGACAGAGTTCTTGAGATGGATATTGAATTGGATAGTTTATGGACTCACCTGTGTTATGACTTCAGTCCCAAGGCTCTCTGTACATGCATATCTTTTCTTCCAGCCATTGGCATTTTCAAATGGAGCTAATGAATGATCACACTGAACACATATCCTACAAATTAAATGATCAGCATGCCCTAAACAGAAATTCTTCTCTTGTCAGCTCTCTGTGAAGTCATTCCCTCTCTGCATGCGGCAGTTGCACAGAGCCCTCCGTGACAACCACCACCTCCGTCACGGAGGCCGGATGCAGTACGGCCTCTTCCTAAAAGGCATCGGCCTGACTCTGGAACAGGCACTGGAATTTTGGAAGAAAGAATTTATCAGAGGAAAAGTGGATGCAGATAAGGTAATTCAGCAAATAAAACGTATCTCAGTATGTAGATGTGGGGATGTAATGAATGTCTACATTGTGCTTACAGATTTGAATAGATGCTTTTTGAAGTAGAAAACTGGGGAAAAAGGTACAGTAATTTATTTTAAAGGTGGGAGGGTTTTTATTTTTTGCTCTCTTTGCTTATAATTTTAGTCATTTTGCTGGGTATTGACCTGAACTATTGGTAAAAAGGCAACCCATAAAGAGGCTTTTATAAATGTGGACTAGGAAAATCTTACCAGTAAATTGCTAGGAAACCACTGTTCTTTATAAAATACAGGTACCACGCAACTAAATTAATTCACTAAGCGGATAAGTGACCAAACCCAGTACTGTCTGAGATACAAGGTTAGCCTTTTTTGTTGTTTAATAAAAAAAATATTAGTTTGACAGCTAGTCAAGTAGTTGAAGTAGTCTTGCCTTACCAAATTTACAGTTGAAGAATGAAAGAAGAAACTGGGGATAGAAGACAGAAGAATATGTTCCAGGAAATAGTGAGAAAATACTGTTCAGTGCAGTGGGATGTTTTACTGACATATTAGTCATTGGCATCACTCTTGCCAATATTTTTGAGAGTATTGTGGGTGAGGAAGATGTAATATCTTAATTTTTGGAGGATTGTGAGCTGCTCCTTATCTTGAACAGCTCAGGTACAATGAAGCAGGCTTCCTCTCTCATCCTTCTCTGCCTGGCCTGTAGTACATTTTAGAGCAGAGTTTCGGACCTTATCTCAGTTTTGTGTGGAGTGTGATACTTTAATATTGTGAGATCTCAGCCTTCTGGATTACCATGAAGTATTTTGGAGTGCTTGGTAGACAGTCTTTAGTTACCTAAGGTTCTCTGGGCCATGGCTATTTATACAAAGTTGGCTAAAATGAATTATGGTACATACGCCTCTTCCAAGACATAGAAGATAGATCAACTTGTCTGCAAATTTTTTGAGATGGAGGTAGGGATTTAAAGGTATGATTTGAATGAGTATCTACTCGTATTAAATGTCTGTTTATATAGTTCCTTAAATGTGATATGATTTAAAAGGATTAGGTAGTTTGTTGAAACAATCTTCAAAATGCATTTTTTTACGAAGGTCTCAAGAACATCTCTAAAGAGTGGCAGTAAATTTTGAAGTTAATGCCAGTTTATTACTAGTTGTATTGGGTTTATGTGGCCAGGTTCTGATAGTGGATGGGGCTATAGGGTTAGGTTCTGTGAGAAGCTGCCAGAAGCTTCTGCCATTGTCAGACAGAGCTAATGCCAACTGGCTCCAGGAGGGATGCCCTGCTGCCTGGGGCTGAGCCCATCAGCAGTGGTGGGTAGTACCTCTGAGGTAACATTCAAGAAAAGGGGGTAAAAAAAAGCCTTCACAATAGCAGCTTCAGCCAATGAGAGTGAGAATATGTGAGATCACAGCTCTGCAGACAATAAGGTCAGTGCAAAAGAAGGAGGAGAACGTGCACCAGGTGCCAGAGCTGAGATTCCCCTGAAGTCTGTGGTGTAGCCCATGGTGAAGCAGCTGTGTGCCCCTGCAGCCCATGAGGGACCATGGTGGAAAAGAGATCCACTTGCATCCCCTGGAGGACCTCATGCCAGAGCAGAGGGATGCCTGAAGCAGGCTGTGACCCTGTGGGAAGCCCATGCTGGAACAGGCTCCTGGCAGGACCTGTGACCCCAAGGAGAGAGGAGCCCACACTACCCCATAGGGACTCACACTGGAGCAGGTCGTTCCTGAAGGACTGCACACCATGGAAGGGACCACACTGGAGCAATTTGTGAAGAACTGTTTCATGTGAGAAGATTCAACATTGGCAAAGTTCATGGAGGACTGTTTCCTGTTGGGGGGAACCCCACTCTGGAGCAGGGGAAGAGTGTAAGGAGTCTTCCCCCTGAGAAGGAAGGAGTGGCAGAATTGTATGGTGAATTCCCATTTCCTGTCTGCCTGCACCCCCTGGGGGGAGGAGGTAGAGAAAATCAGGAGTGAAGTCAAACCTGGAAAACAGAAGGGATGAGGGGAAAGTGTTTTAAGGTTTGTTTTTATTGCTCATTTCCCTCCAATGATTTCATTGGTAGTAAATTACTTATCCGAAGTAGAGTCTGTTTTGTCTGTGACAGTAACTGATGAGTGATCCCTCCCTGTCCTTATCGTGTCCCATGAATCCTTTGTTATATTTTTCTCTCCTCTGTCCACCTGAGGAGGGGAGTGATAGAGAGACTTGGGTGGGCATCTGATATCCAGCCAGGGTCAACCCACAACATTAGCTGAGTTCAGGGAAATCCGGAATTTTTGGTTGCCATATCCTATATTTAGAGGAACTGAAAGAATAAAAACAAGCTATTAGAAACAATAATAGTATAAAGATGCATTTGTTATTTCTGTTTTCATAAAATATTGGGAGAACACATCTGATAATACCTGCTTGTGCTTTGACCAAATATGTACATGCACAGGTATGAAGGCATGTATTCACTTTGAATCCTGTTTTCAGTCACAGGGTTATGACTTTCTATTATAGCATCTCTTGATAGGCCCTAGAAATAAGTGAAGGTTTATGATCCTGTGTTTAGCTTCAAGAGTTAGAAAGCATATTGTGAATCAAACAAGGAGTTTGGTTACTGTATTTTTCACAAGCAGGTTACTACTTCCATGTAATTTTGGTCCTTTTCAAGTTCTAGATAACCAGCTTCAATCTGGGATAAAAAAGAAAACTAATTTTTCATGTCTCTAACTGAGGTTGGTGGCCTGTGGTTTTTCACAGTAGTGTCATACAATGTTTAATGTCCTGAAAAAAGGAAGATTAATACTACTTATTGCTATTTTCTTATTTTGATATTTTTTTTTCTGGCATTTGTGCCACTGTTCCTTTCCTGTAGAGTGGAGATTATTAATTACACTGTTTCATTTTACTGGAGCATTGTGAAGATACATGCATGATACTTTTTAAAGATTAAGGTTAATGGTGTATTACCTAGTGACTCTTGTATTGCAAAGAGGGAGTGTTAAATTTGCTGGAAATGGTTATGATTTCAAAATTGTTGGTTCATTTTTGTCTTTAGTAGCTGCGACGTCTATGCCAATTTCCAGTCCTAAGAATTCTTGTCACACAACTTCAGTCTTCAGCAGGAAGGAAGTTACCATGGGCACATTAGCAGTGAACTGGCTAAGCATTGTCTCCAGGCTAAGCATAGGATATGGACAATTTGCACCAAAAAGAACTCCTCCTGTGCTCTGAGTAGCTGATTCAGGCATACCTCAGGGCTCCTTGATAAAAACACTGTAGAAAAGCTTTTAAGAAATTATATTTTACCTTTAGAGACGAATCCATTATGTCTGAATGAAGGGTGAAGCCATGTAGTCATTGGGGAAAAGAAATCAAGTAACACCTACAAAGACAGTTCTGATAGAGATGTAGAGATGCTCTGTGGGTGAGGTGGGGGAGGGAATGGTCATGTATTGGCATGTTCACAACAGGGACAAATGCAGAATGCAAAATAAAACATTTTCTAATTTAGGCACTGCAATTAAAATTATTCTGCAAATTGCTAGGTTAAGAGTGCCTAAATGGTAAATTGTTGTTTTTCAGATGAAAGGATCAACTGCCAAATGTAGTTGATGGAGGAGTAGATGCATTACTTTTGAATGAATGGTTGTGCCAGTTGGCTTCATACCTTCAGTGTTATTTTAAGACTGTTTTTTTTTTCCTATAAATTGTATTCTTACTTTAAACAGGTATTGATTCTCATAGATTTTTTTCACTGTTCTTGCCTAAAAAGTAATTTCTGACCCTGTTAAAAAAAAAAAGTCTGGGAGATGTGACTCCAGTGTAATTTAAAAATACACAAAGGTAATAAGATGACAAGAAAAATCAAATTAGAGTACAGATGTAAAAACGCTTTCATAACTGAAAATAAAGTCCTCTAACAGAGATCATTCTAGTGGAAATGGTTACTGTTTTCAGATATTTTTGTGTGATTAACTGTGAATGTGAAAAGGAGAAGTTGGAAGATAATGCAGTATCTTGAACAAAGAAAAGAAGGAATGCAGAATCAGTTTCTTTAAGGTTTTATTCAGTTACTTCTTTAGCTAACAGCCTGGATCTGAGATTTTTGGTACAGATGAAAGGCTTTAAGACAGCCCCTCACTTCTTGCTTTTCACTACTACATATACTTGATACAAGTTCCTTTTCTTAGCAGTAATTGGTGTATGGTGGTACAAAATGCCATCTTGTAGTACTGTGATTTTTTACCACTTTGTGCAGAAGTAAGAGTTGCTGGTTATACACTCCTGTACTGAAAAGTAATTACTCTGGTACTGCAGTTTGATACTTCACTAGTTTTAATTATTGTTGCATATGCTACTGAAGCACATCTTAAAATTGTGCAAGATTGTGGGGGTTTATTTATTCAATAAATCTCCAAAACTGAAGTATTAGTATGTTGAGAAAATTATCCTTGTGACAGAGCAGCTTTATTGTCCTTGTGACTTCCTGTGGAAAATGAGACATGGCTTTTTAGCCCCTGTGTTCTAGGACTCTTTCTTCAGAGATGTGATGGCACTCAGGCTAGCAAAGACTTTTATTCATCCTGACTCAGTTTTCCAGATTAATTTACTGTAGTTTCTTGGGCATGTTGTTTTGTATCACAGTTGATTGCAAATGGCATGGAGCAGGTTGTTTTCTAGTTGTCTGAGGTATGCCTCTTCATCCCTTTTGCTAGTGAATGACAGGTGTTTTGCTAGAAGAAAGAAAAGGAAAGTTCACTTAAATTCAACCTTGCTCAGAGTCTG